GTGGGTTTCCTCCAGATGCTCTGTTTTCCTCCCACAGTCTTCTGGGACAACTGGCCCTGGTGTGAGTGTGTGTCTGCGTGTTCCCTGCGATGGACTGGCGTCCAGTCCAGGGTGTATCCTGACTTACACCCATGGCTTGCTGGGATAGGCCATGGCTCCCGCATGACCCTGTACTGAATAATGCGTTTGGAACATGGATGGATGGATCTATCAGTTAAGCCTAAATCAATATGGATGGATGGTACCATACAAGGGAGTTTTAGACCTTTCCCCTTGCTTGTGTTTCCTGATGATGTGAAATACAGTATTTGTAAAGACAGAAATGTTACATGGAATACTTTTGATATGGTCGAACTCTGAAATCTTTTAACAAAACCCTGTAAAGAGATGGCTGTAAAGAGATGTGGGTGGGGTCGGTAATGTGCTTTCTTACCAGCATGACTGCAGTGGCCAGAGCCCGGGTCAACTCACACATCCTCTTCAGCTGCTTCAGAGGTCCCATCAAAAACATGGTGCTAGAGAGACACAAAGAAACACTGTCACTGCCTGCCTCCTCTGACACAGCACAGGTACAGATTCCTAAATGAAATTACATTGTCTCCAGTGAGTCACATTGTACAGTTAGCAATGACAAGAACTCACGAAGAATCCCAAAGAAAAAAAAACATGGCTACCATTCTGTGAAAGCCTAACTAGACAGCAGTATTACCCGTCGGAATAAGCCTCTGTAATTCGAAATCTAAGCAAGACTGGGCTTGGTAATGGGAAACTGTTAAGGGAAACCACAGTGCTGCTGAAAGTCGTGTTGGTGAACCAGCAGATGCCAATACCACAATATGTAGATTAGAGACACTGTGCTGTCCATCAGATGAGATGTCAATGCAAAGTCCTGATTGCTTGGTCATTAAAGAGCTGCTTTATGAAAAAACAGGTGTATTAATCCTGATGTGCTGGTTACACTCCATGTTGGGCTGCTGGTGTGTAGTGGCTGCTGTCCATCAGATGAGATGTCAATGCAAAGTCCTGATTGCTTGGTCATTGCAAGAGCTGCTTTATGAAAAAACAGGTGTATTAACCCTGATGTGCTGGCTACACTCCATGTTGGGCTGCTGGTGTGTAGTGGCTGCTGTCCATCAGATGAGATGTCAATGCAAAGTCCCGATTGCTTGGTCATTAAAGAGCTGCTTTATGAAAAAACAGGTGTATTAACCCTGATGTGCTGGCTACACTCCACGCTGGGCTGCTGGTGTGTAATGGCTGCGGAGTATCACACAGATGGGTGCGTCACGTCAGTGGTGGGTGTAGTGGGTCCCCTCCAATATGTAAAGCAGTTTAAGATCCTTCAGAACAAAACGTGTTCAAATACAGGAATTACATTTCTGAAACTGCTCTTCAGAAAGTGACCAATGATCTGTTCAATGCAGTAGATTAATCTATCTTGATTTTTAAGGCAATGGGCTGGCACCCTGTCCAGGGTGGGTGTATCCCACTTTGCTCCCAATGCTAAGGGTTAAGGATAGGGAGAGAGATAGGCTCTGGGCCACTTGGACGCTGAATTGGATAAGCTGGTCTGGTTTAATATGCTCCCACTGTTCATTTCCTCTCTGGGGGTAGCAGGGCATTTTGTCACCCAATCCTAGATATTCTGGTCCACCATCCCGAAAGAAATCAGGGACAGGGTGCTTGTACACCCAACTTCAAAATCTAGTTTTTCAGACAAACTTTCTGTTACCATTTGATCTTCCTTGCCAGCTTTGTTATCTTGGATTGGAAAATGTCGAACATTCTCATTTTTGTACTGTGCTACTGAAGAACACTTAGAGCTGACCAGGTTGAAAGGCATGACAAAAGTTAAACTTCATTGTTACGACCCCAAGTGTCTAGGGGAAAAGGGGTGTAACATTTAGGATAATTCTTTTGGAAGCAGGGGGATTCTGGTGAGGGACTAGGAAGCGTGATAACAAGGGTAAGGAACTAGAGTGGTGCCAAAGGAAAGAAAATAACAAACAAAAATGGAGCTGGCTAGGACAGTGAGGGAAAGCTAATCTGACTACAAAAGAAAACCCGAAACACACGGTCTTCGGCGTCTTCAACACCCTAGCTAACCTCCACTGACTACCCAAAACCATACAAGACAAACAGCACTCACCCGTACTAACCTAGTGTACTAATACAAAATCAACTAAGTGTGTTAGTGTACCCAACAACCTAAACTAACCTTATATACAAAAGTTCACACAAAAACCCAAGTGAACCAGGAAGACAAATAAGGGAAAACAAGAGTAATAAACAGGAGCAGGGTACAAAAGAACACGTAAAAGTTGAACATGTAACACTGGGGCAAGGAAATGACAAGACAAGGATGAACACAAACAAACGAAAGTACAAAGAAACTAACAAAAAAACAACAAAACAACAAAGCCAAAGCTATACGAAAATACACACACATACAAAGCAAAACAAACCAACAAACGAAGCCGAAGCGATAACCAAAACCAAACGGGCCCGAAGTCAAACGAAAGGCCCCCTCTTCCTGAAAGCCTCCATGTTAAATAGTGAATAAGATGTGTTCTGATTGGCTGACAGCTAATTAATGATGACATCATACTGAAACAGTGGAGTGATGGTGGGCCAATGGGGAAGGGAGAACAATCAAGGGTCAGCAGTGTGGAACATAGAAAAAACACACACAGAACACACACTGGGACGTAACATTCATTATTATTTAAAATAATTTTATTTTGGACCCAATATGTCCAAAATATTCCACCCCCCCAAAAAATGTTCTTAATTTTCAGTCAAGATCATTTTGCTTTCTAGGTCTACAGCAGCTAAGAAATTGACTATGATGGGTGTGGTGGATCACAGAATATACCAGTCCCCCCTTTACTAACATTATTCCTATGGAAATGTGCACTGCCAGCCTGTAGTGGGATACTGTGGCCATGATGACCACCTGGTTATCTGCAGCTTCTACAGTCACTGGTCTAATCTAAACAGAGGGAGCCCCAGCTTTCTTGTCCCCCTGTGCCTTTTAATTTTCCACTTATTTTTCTTATGTGCCCATTTGTTCTATGTATACAATAAGCTATCTTGATGAGGGGGCATTTGAGAACACTTCATTAAAGCAATCATCAAAAAAAAACAGATATGGAAAGTAATAGGATAATGGCATCAAAGGCAAGTCCAGGAAACGCAGGATTAAGCTGCATATGTCATGTGCTTTCACAACCTTGAATAAATTAAGACTCAATTACCTGAAGAAGGAAAGAGCATACAGTGTTGGAGGGAGGCTTAATACAGCTTTTTTAATTGCAATGACTAATTCATCCTGAAGTATAGATACCTAATCAGGAAGGCATTTAATACCCCTGTGACGAAATCAATCATAAAAAGCAAACTAGAGCTTTATGAAAACTTGGTTTTTCATAACAACGATCTTACACATAAGGAGAGATAGCTGAATGAAAGCAGCTTTCAGATGAATCACAGAATTCAAATCAGAAGATCAAAAGGACAACAAGGGAGAAAGGCTTTAATTGCAGAGTGCTGGTGATCTGTATTTTTAGCAACCTCTGTGCATGTTACCTCAAAACAACAGCTCAGGTGCTCAGTGCTTGATAAAGGTCCTAGCCTAGCAATGCGTCCATGGTTTGGGCCATGAACTGAGGGTACGGTCAGCTGAGGTGTGCTTCCATATTCAGTGGGGGAAATTCACCTGGCTGGGCAGAAATATAGCCCACGTTGTGACTGACTGAAATGACGGGTCACCTCAGCTTGGTCAGGCTCACAAACCCAAGCCACAGCCAGCCTCATGTGGCGAAGATGAATGGGTTCCTACTCTTTGTTATCTCCTCAGCTGCCACACGAATGCAGAAAAAGCACACAGCTGGACGATTCTTGTTAGGTAATACACACTGTAGGCTCTCAAATTCTACTTAAAACAGGATGTGGGTTTTTTTACGCTTTATCACTGTGTCTATGCAAACTCACTCAAGGGAGGTTCACGAAACAGGAATTTCCAGCAGCAGCTGTCTGCATGAGTGAAAGACCCTCAACAGCTAGCAAATAAACAGCTGTGTTGAAAATTGACACTTCTTAAAAAAAGACCTTAGCCTTAAGTTCTCTCAAATTCTGATGGAAATGCTTTTGAAAAGTGTAATAAACCTTGTCCAACCTTTGTCCATAATTTTTCTGGCCACTGTACTGAGGAGCATTCCTGCCACATGATAGTACAATATGTAATGAATTCAATTACCTTACTATTCCCCCTACTATCAAACATTTACCCAGATTTGGAAACACACAAGCCAGCAGCCATATCACTCTGCAACTCACAACTGGCAACC